TGGCAGCAGATGAATGCACCCAGATTTTAGCTCAAACGTATTACCCTCATCAAGAGTAAGGAAGGTAATACATAACGGTTGTTGGTTCAAGTTTGGAACTGTGAGCTCCCTCGGTGTTCTTGTTTCAAGAGCCATGTGGAAGGACTCTTCGGATTCGCTAGAACTCGAGCTAGTGGTGAATGAATCTTTGGTAGATGATTCCTCCGAGTCGGTGTTTGAAAATTTAATTTTCAACCGCTCAAAAGTTTGTTCTATTTCGGGGTTTGATTGGTAGGTGATTTCGTTCAGTGAACGATATTTAACCATGAACTCCACTAAGCTCAGAAAACTAGAAGAATAAGAACTCTTTATATTTTATTTATTATAATTTTTTTGATTTTTCTTGAAATGAAATAAAAGAAAAATAATTGTCTTTCCTCGGCAACGGCGCCAAATTTGACGTGCACTTGTCGTAAGATGCACTCAAAATAAATAGGTATTATGCACTTAGCCACCAAGTTCGAGTGTACCCGATCGGGTGTGGACACTCGATCGTGGTCCGAATCTTCTCTGCATGATCCTTTGTCTTCGGATCTGATCCGATTTGAAATTTTAACAAGATACCCGATAGAGTATAGGTCATACTCGACCGGGTATAGACCAAAAAATCAGGATCTTTTTTCTTTTGATTTTGCACCTTCCTTCCACTTTTGGGGTTCACCAACTGTCCTTTGAGCTGATCAAGACCTGTTTGAGCTCAGAATAAACCTAATCTAAACAATTTACAAGAATTTAACAAACTAAACTATTACACCAAAAGTGTGTAACTTCCAAAGTAAAAATCACTCAAAACTAATTAAAAATACAAACATACACATGGAAATTACGTGATTATCAAGCATATATAGACCTCATTAAAAACTGATGTTTATTTATAACCATATATAAACAGACAATTAGGTCGTTTAAAAACAGATAGATGTGCTTGTTGAATGAGTGTGCACATTAGCAAGGATACTTGGTTCATCGGTAGACAATGACAAACAATTGTTACGCCCCAATATAAAGCCATGTAGGTGTTTACTAAAATTAATTTTTCCCTTAAAGATTATGTGTGTACGCTTATGGATGAGTCATGAGTATGTTGTTAACCCATATAAGTAGAGAACTGGAACGTGGGGCGGGGGGTATAAAAAATTGCAGAGAATAATAAAAAAATGCAAAAAATGACTTGCAATGCAAACTATTATGTGATTTTACTGAAAGAGAATGATTATATACCACCTCCATGGATGTTTATGTTTGACTAAGAAAAATATAAGTGTAATTGGATACATTTTCTACTTTTATGACTATGTTTGGCAAACATAAGTCCATGCCTTCTAGCTTTTGTACTATTTAAAAAGTCTTTAAAAGCTTCTAGTTGTATGTTTGGTACGCCAATTTTTAAGAGCTTTTATAAAAATAAAAGATCTTTTTTGAGATGCTACAGGCCTACAGTGAGTAGCATCCCAGATAAGTAAGTAGCTTCTAGTATTAATTAGTCATAACAGCTTGTATACCAAACAGAGCTGAATCAAACAGTCGGTTTTTTATCAAATAGGTACTGCTTTTTTTTTAGATCTTTTCAGTCACTAAAAGCTAGCGGTTATAAAAAAGCTCATAAAAGTATCTTTTCAGCTAGCTGTGCCAAACATAACTTATGTATATCATAGGGTCGGTTTTGTAGTCACTGAAATGCATTGCACTAAGCACTATTAATTCCAGAAAGATCACCACATATTCAGTCATTTTAATGAAACAACCCTAACCAAACATACTCTTCTTTAAGCTGACTCATTTATCAAAGTGCAGATTCACCCAATTTCAATTTGATATTTTCACAAACTGATTCCTTATTACACAAGAAGACAAAAGATATTAGAGTTAAAGATAATTAATAGGTTTATTTCCAATTTATACCAGATAGATTAGTTGACATTTTATCTCCCAGTATATGTTGTTCACACAATTGCATTACAACAACGATTCATATGAAAGTTGGAGTCTTTACACATGAACTGTGTGATAAAACTGAAGTGTAAATAATAAATCTAACAGAAGGTCCATTTTAGATTGTCAAAGAGTACATTGAATTGCAATAGATTGGGATTTATATATATTTTGTCTTACTTTTCATTTATATATTTCTATTACATTAAGACCAAGAAATCTATCTATATGTTAGACTTTTTTAAGAGTAGATCAAAGTGAATATGTATTTCTATGATCAAAGGTAGAACAAAGCATTGACAAGTACTCTCCGGTAGCATTTCCCCCCTCCCAAGCTCCCCATCGCCTTAAATCTTGGAAGAAACTTTTGTAGCAAACTGCATATCTTAGTCACAAAAGCTAATCCGGTTCTTTCAACTAACTCAATTTAGACACATTATCAAACACCTGACATGTGTTAATTGTGATTTTTATGTGCAGTCCTAATCGTATCAGGTTACTCTGAATGCATCCATGTGAATTCAAGCAATGCATTGCACGTACTATAGGTTTAGGACTCATGTACACAGAAATGAACTTAAATAGAAAGCTGGAAAACAAACACAAGAAAAGAATAGCTACATCAAATAAAACCTAGGCAAAGAGTTGCAATGTTATGAGTACTCATTTATGGATGAGAATAATCAGTAAACATCAACTATTGGAGGCAGGGCCGGTCCTAGGGGGGGGGCAACAGGGGCGACCGCCCTAGGCCCGAAAAAATAGCAAAAAAAAAATAGGCCCAAAATTTTTTCTTTATATATAGCATGAGTAGGACTCTTTTTTGTATTCTTTTTTTGAATAATCTTTTTTTTTATAATCTTTTTTGTATTTTAAAACTCATTTAATTAGGCCCATGATTTAATTTTGTTCATAATTTTAAAATTATAAAAGAAACTTTATAAAAAATTATAAAAGGAATGTAATGTGTCCCTCCCAATCCCGAGTGGCCCAATAACCCAAATCCCTAAACTACCTAAGTACCTATTACGTACTCTGTATTACCGAACACTTCAAATTCTCCCATCTACCCCATCCCAATTCCCAAACATTAAACTCCCAAATCCCAATAAGGCAATAACCCACTTGGCCGGCCACTTCATTGTTTTTTTGTTTTGTTTGTTTTCAATTTTGAAATCAAGTAACGAAGGTTCAATTGTTCAAGGTTGCCTAAGTGATAACTGATTGAGAAGGTTTCAAATCGACTGGCCGTTCGGTTGTTACGGCAAGGCGCAAGCCTTCAATTTTTCAAGTCTGCCAATCAATCCAGGAACGGAGGAGGCGAGGAGCCCAAAGGTCGGCCGGTAATTACAAATTTACAAGTCTTGAACACCTTCTTTCAACTTTCAAGGTTTCAAACAATCTGTCAGTCACCAGTGGTAAGTAAATTAATCTCAATCTATTAGAATTTATTTTGATTTATGATTGATAATTTATGATTTATCCTTGCAATTGCAATTTGTATATAAGAAAATGTTTTTGTTATATGATGCATTTTTATTGTCTTGTTAAATTGATATCTGTGTGCTATTGGCTATGGACCCTATCGTGCAATTTTGAATTCTGTTATTGTTTTTTACGATTGTGAAGGTGCTCGATAAAATGGGTGAATCTGGTTGGGAAAAAGAGAAAAAGAGGCAAAGATTAGATAAGGCAGCCTTAAGTCAAAAGGGGGCAATGGAAAAATATGTTTTCGTTAAGAAGTTGAATCCTGAAAATTCTTCTCAAGTTGAATCGCCGTTAAATTCTTATGCGAATGAAAATAATAACACGCCTGGGAATAATGATATTGGTACAGAAGCCGCAAATGTTGAAACTGAGCCAGATAAATGTGATTTAGGTGAAGAAAATAAATCAGTGAGGGGTCATTTTTCAGTGATTGATATATATGATCCGGTTTATTGGGGGAACCTTGATGCCAAAATGAAAGATATTTTAGTTGAAAAAGGACCTATAAGGGAAACTCAACTAAATTATCCTCTTGATGCCAAGTTTAGACATTTTTCAAATGCCTATTATACTAGGAACATGAAAAATAAAGAAAGCGAAGATAGACAATGGCTAGTGTATTCCAAAAAAGTGGATAAAGTCTTTTGCTTTTGTTGCAAGTTGTTTAAAACAAAAGAAGGTCCCAATCATTTAGCTAATGAAGGAACTAATGATTGGAAACATCTTAGCGAAAAGCTTTCTACCCATGAAAAAAGTGTTGAACATTTTACTAATGTGCAAAGATGGATGGAACTAAAGATGAGATTGGCAAAACAAAAAACCCTTGATTCGGCTATTCAGGAAAAATTAGCAAAAGAGAAGCAACACTGGAGGGATGTTCTTAAGAGGATAATAGTTTTAGTAAAGACTCTTGCTAAAAAATCACTTGCCTTTCGTGGAAGTAGTGACAGACTTTATGATGAAAAAATGGCAATTTTTTAGGGTTCATTGAAATGATTGCGGAGTTTGATCCCATTATGCAAGAACATGTGAGGCGCATCCAATGTAGTGAGATTCACTATCATTATTTGAGTCACAAAATTCAAAATGAATTGATTCTGAGGTTAGCATCGAGTGTGAAAAGTACAATTGTTAATCAAATTAAAGCTGCGAAGTACTATTCAGTTATTCTTGATTGCACACCCGACTCAAGTCACAGAGAACAAATGACTCTAATCATAAGATGTGTGAATATGTCATCAGGCAAAGCAGAAGTTGTTGAATATTTTTTGGAATTTCTAGAAGTACTAGATACAACTGGATTGGGGCTTTTTGGGGAATTAGAGCGTGTGTTGATTTCATATGAGCTAGATATTGATGATGTTAGAGGACAGGGTTATGACAATGGGTCTAACATGAAAGGTAAGCATCAAGGTGTTCAAAGAAGACTACTTGATATGAACCGGAGAGATTTTTACATGCCATGTGCTTGTCATAGTCTAAATTTAACAATTTCTGATATGGTTAAATCTTGTTCAAGGGCAGTTACTTTTTTTGGATGTGTTCAGAAATTGTATACACTATTTTCTGGTTCAACAAAAAGATGGGCAATTTTGAAAGAGCATTTAGAGGGCTTAACTTTGAAGTCATTGTCCACCACACGTTGGGAATGTCATGTGGAAAGTGTTAAAGCAATTGTAACCCAAACTTTGCAAATACGAGAAGCTTTGATTGAACTGGGAAAAGATTGCACTGATTATTCGTCTAAAAATGACGTTAAAAGTGTGCTGAAACAAGTAGAAAAGTTTGAATTCTTATTGGGCATGGTAATATGGTATGATGTTTTGCATCCCATTAATAAAGTCAGTAAATTATTACAAAGTGAAGATATGTGCATGGATGCTTGTATAGTAAATATGAATGCTTTGATTATTTATTTAAACAAGTATCGAAATGAGGGGTTTGAAGATGCAATGAGTAGAGCAAAAGGTATTGCTCTAGAATTGGGGCTTGAACCTTGTTTTCCTGAAAGGCGATCGATCCGGAGGAAAAAACACTTTGATGAAGATAAAGAAGATGATGAAGATAAGTCGCCTCAAGATGCTTTTAAGTGTTTTTATTTTAATGTTGTAATGGATGCTTGTTTGGTTTCTCTGCAAAGTAGATTTGATCAGATGAAGGTTTTTCAAGGTATTTTTGGGTTCTTGTTCAATTCAAGGAACTTGAAATCATTGGATTCTGATAAGTTGATAGATTCTTGTAAGATACTTGCAGAAGCTCTACAAGATGGTGAAAAGGAAGACATTGATATGGATTATTTATTTCAAGAATTGAAAATGTTGCAAAATATTTTACCGGATGATAGGGACACAGCCATTAAAATTCTTGATTTTGTGAAGAACTTGTGTTGTTATCTGAATACAACAATTGCTTACAGAATACTGTTGACAATACCTGTGACCGTTGCCACAGCGGAGAGAAGTTTTTCAAAGTTGAAGATACTGAAGAATCATTTGCGATCGACTATGTCTCAAGAAAGGCTGAATGGATTAGCAATTTTAAGCATTGAGCATGAATTCTTGGAAAAGGTTGATTATGAAGCAATTATTGATGATTTTGCTTCACAGTGTTCGGCGAGAAACGTTTTTAAGTAATATTTTTCTTTTTATGTGATACTTGTTACCTTTCATCAAACATGTTATTTAAATATTAATAAAGTGAATTTCATCTTTATTTTTTTTACCTTTATTCAATTATTCGGTAGTTTTATTATAATCTATGTTTAGCTTATAAATTTAGACCCAACTTAGCTTCTCGCCCATAGGCCCACAAAATGACAGGACCGGCCCTGATTGGAGGGAAGAATAGCAAACTCATCTGCAAAACTCTTGACCAGCTCAGTTTGCGCGAAAAGATGAGAAACCTAGTCCAAACCCCATTTATAGACGTAGGGTAGGAAAAGATTAAAATCTTCCGAAACCGAAATTTCAACGAGTAAGGATTTAATTTTGATGCTTCAACTTTTGCAACAAAGGTCGAAAACCATGTAGGTTCTGGCTTGGCAAACGTATTCGAAGAAGAGAAGCAGTCGGTATTAGTTTTGTTTAACCGACAAACTTATACAACGTTAACTAATTAACGATTCTATAACGTTTTATTGATGTGTAATAGTGAGCGTACCTCATCAATAGCACAAATTACGTTAAGATAAGCGAGTATTTAATAAGAAATCTGTCCTTTATAAGATAGGTTAAGATGATAAATATAACATTTGAGGCAACAATCATTAAGCAGCAAGTGGTCTCTCCCTCTAGTAACGTTTAGGTTTCTCCGCAAGCTTTTGCAGCTGGTGCAGCGGGCGATCAGTCGAAGGTTGGGAGCAGATATCAGTCGCCGTTTGGGGGTGCCTTCCTTGCCGATCGAACAGAGAGTGCAGTGCAAGGAGTTTGGGAGCAGTGATCAATCGACGTTTCAGTATGAATGTTTCTGATTGTAGTTTCAGGGACTTTGGGTGCAACACAAGGAGTTTGTACTAGTTATTAGGAGGTGGCAAAGGCGACGAGCAGACAATGAGAGGTGAAGGACTAAACAAGGGGGGAGACAGATCGATGTTCCACCCCCTCCTGAACTGCCGCCTTGGAGCAATCGAGGTGCCAGAGTTTGGAAGATGATGTTTCAAGAAAACTGACAGGAAAGAGCTTGGAGCCTTTATCAATTATTTTATTTCCTATGATCTTATTTTTGCGTTATGATTGTATGTGTTGCTCTGTTTTTGTTGATCTCTTTAGTTTTAGGTCTACATTAATGATTGACAATTTTGCTAGCTATTATGTCGTTAGAAGATCTATGTGGTCAGTGATTGTTGTGTCACACCCGTTTGGTGGTTAGCGATTCATATTGCTCTTTCAGGGGTGACCGTTTCTAAATCTGGCTGTAGGATTGACAGTGATAGTTGGTTACAGATAGTTGTTGTTAGTGTTGGTGTCTTTGAGTTTGATGTAACGATCTGAATCCTAATGATATTAATATAAATGGATATCTTTTCAAAAAAGATAACAATGATATATATAAATTAGATTATTAATTAGCTACACAATATACAAGTCCAACTTATATACGAAGTACAATTTACACTACTAATGTGATACATTAGTTTGTTGCATCTTGGGGTTTAGTCCTCTTATCATTATTTATAATTGTTTTGTAATCCACAAGTTTCTTACTCTAGATTTCTAAAATAGTTTAGGGCATAACACCTATTAAATTTTAACTATGCAAAATGACCATCAAAAACAAGAAAGAAATGTGAATTTTTATATATAGTATTTGATTGAGGAAGCGGTCCAGCCTAGCTGGTCACCAACTCGCCCTCTTATGGGATGTTTCGGGTTTGAAACTCAATGGAGTGAGTTTCAGCCTAGATTACTCCAAGCTCCCCCAGTTCCCCTCCCCCAGACGCCCCTTGGAGTTATATATATATATAGTATTTCATTATTTTTTATTTTAATTCTAATGAAACTTACAATTCAAACATTATACATAATATGTATAATATATAATAGATATAGGAAAATAATAAATGAGGATATATTCATCAAATACGAATATTCAAATCAAATACTCGAATATAATCAAATATATTCAAAAAGTTAATTAAATCAAATACAAATATTCTTTTAAGTTCGAATAATAAATAAATACAGATTTGATTTGAGTAGAAAGTTATCAAATTCAAATCAAGTAGAGGGGTATTCGACTCAATTTGATTCGTTTACAATCCTGGTTGAAAAGGGGCAAAAAAATCACCCCTTTTAATAACACTGCGATTCTTGGAAAAAATATTGCCCTTTCCTATTGAATGCCCTACAAATCCAAATTATTGATGTTGTCATCCTCAAACAATCCGATCAAGTTCTTGAAATATATTGGCGATGATTACTTCACTTTCTTTGCATTTACTTCCTTTTAAAACAAGGGTTACCTTTCCGTGGCCATGATGAATCTAATGCATCTTCTAATTAAGGTCACTTTCGTGAACTTCTAAAGGTTCTTGCGGCTTGTAATGTAGCAAAAACACATGATCGCGTTGCTTTGTTTTTCTGTTTAATTTCTACCCCTATCAATATTGTTGGGTGGTCATGCAAGCAATATGAATTGCTTCGTGAAACACATGCAGCTAGAGTTAAAGAAGGAATTGAAAAAGGTGAAATTCAGACTGGACGAGGCATGCATCAAGGAGTTGGTTTGAAGCGAAGTGGTGAAACTCGTTGGGGTTCACATTATGGCAGCCTGATTAGTTTAGTTCAAATGTATTCTTTGGTGATTGATGTTCTTTAAGTTATCAAAAAAGATGGTGTGACTTTAGATCAAAAGGGTGAGGCTATGCAGCATTTAGACTCTATACAGACTTTTAATTTTTTGTTCTTTTTGCATTTGATGAAGACTGTCCTTGGAATTATCAATGAACTATCTCAAGCATTGCAAAGAAAGGATCAAGATATCCTTAATGTGATGCAATTGGTATCTATTGTGAAGGGAGGCTTGCAAGATATGAGAGATGATGGATGAGATCCATTATTAGAGGAAGTGTCTCTTTTTTGCAGAGTTCATGATATTGACATTCCTAATATGGAAGATAATTAAATTTATACCAAAAGGCAGGTCACGGCGCAAAGCTAAGGATATAAAATACTGGGAGCATTATCAGTATGACTTGTTTTATACAATTGTGGATATGCAACTTCAAGAACTTAATTACTGTTTTAGTGAGTATAACACTAGGTTGCTTCTTTGTTTGAGGTGCTTGAGTCCAGACAAGTCCTTTGAAGCAATTGACAAGATCAAGTTGATTGAGTTTGCTACGTACAATTTATCCAAGTGATTTCTCAAGTATGGAGCTATTAGTTCTTGAAAATCAGTTGGAGAATTATATTATTGATATGCGAAGTAATAATAAATTTCCAGAGTTGAAAGGAATTGCTTGCCTTAGCTTGCAGAGATGTTGGTGAAGATGGGGAGACATCATGTTTATAAGTTAGTTTATTTACTTCTGAAGTTAGCACTGACATTACATGTTGCTACCGCCAAGGTTGGAAGAGCTTTTTCTGCAATGAAAATTGTGAAGACCGAGTTGCGAAATCGGATGAGAGATGATTGGATGAATGAGTGTTTAGTTCCTTATATAGAAAGTGGTGTGTTTAATAGCATTGATGACGAGTTAATTATTCAACACTTTCAAAATATGCAAGCACGCTGATGACAACTATAAAGGGTACCTTTTCTTTTATTTAGCCTATTCTTTTCTCATGAAGTATACTATTAATGTAATATATGTGCATACACTGGACCTGATGCCTAGGTCCGCCACAGTCTACCAAGTAGTAATAATTGTACAACTGGTTTTGGCTGCATGGAACAAAAATGTTGTAGAATAGTTGCCTTTTTCGGTTCAAACTTATCAATTTGTATTTGGATTTATTTTTCAATTTTCATTAGCTTACCTATTGGTCCTTTTGGAATATATATTCATAATTAATGAGATTGTGCATATTGAATCATTTTTCGTGTTCATCTTAGATTTTTCCAACTCTATAAAGCTCAAAAGGTGTTATTCCGGAGCTGCGTAGACGCTCATGGATGTTTACATACTCAGGCAGATAGAGCTTATTGAAAAGAAGAATCTCTACGAGAGAATTTACATACCCATCCAGAAGGGCTCACTACTAGAATTTTCCTTATTTGCTCCTACCCAATTGTTGTGGCTCTTTTCTAAACCGCAACAAATAGGCAAAATTTATAAGTATTTGTTGCGGTTCCTATACGACCGCAACAAAAAGTAGTAAAAGTTCGTACTTTTTGCCAAGGTTGTATAGGAACCGCAGCAAATACTTATTAAAATTTGAATTTGAAGTTTTTTCGGAACCTATTTGCTGCGATAAGGGTGAACCGCAACAATTTTTACTTAATCGCTGCGGTCAGAGTGGGAGCGCAGAATAAGGTTGTATTTCTCCTCTTTCCCCAACCTTTCAATCGGAAAAACCGAATTAGGCAAAACCAGTTAGCCCCTCCCAGAAAACCCTACGGGCCAACCAACCTTGGTGCATCCACCGAAGCAGGTCGCCCACTGTCCTCGCCCACTGTCCTCACCGAAGCATGTTATTACGGTGCGGCTACTCACCCTCTTCCCCGCCAAGACTCGCTCTGCTTTCTAGATGAGCCGCAGGTCACGACCCTTTCTATTTTCTGAACCCATCTGCTTCTTGAATTGCTTCAGGTAATATGTTCTTACTTCTTATTTTAATAAAAGTTAAGTTCTCGCTGATTTTGGTTCAAAACTATTGATTTTTACACTGCATCCACGCTTTATTTGTTACTTCTTGTTTTAATAAAATTGAAGTTTCTTGCTGATTTTGGTTCACGACTATTGATATTTCACGCTTTAATGCTAATTTTCTTCAAATTTTATTTTTTTGTGTTGGTTAAGCTTTTCTAGTAAACTGTTTTTCATTCGCTAATTTAGTCCGAAAAGTCTCAAGAAGGGACCATTTTAGTTTTGGTAGCTGTTAGTCCCTGTTTTCTATTACAACAAAGATAAAGAGTATAACAAGTAGAAGATTAACAAGAAAGATGAACACAAGATGATTGATGATAACCTTCCTTGACATACCGTGAACTCGTACAGAGAATAATATGCGCTAAGGCTATTTGGAATGAGTACGAAAGTTAACGCAGACCTGAGTCCTCGGCTCCCTTTTATAGGCGAGGCTCAGGTATGCGTATAAGGCTTTTAGCCTTTGTATGGGCCTAACACTTGGCCCATATTAAATACTATTCTAATAAAGACAATATATCAGTACAGAACAGGAATAGTAAACTCTAGACTATTACAGACAAAACTGACAAACTTGATTCACAATAAACTTATCTTCAACATTCTCCCCCTTTGTGATCAAGTGTTGTCTTCTTTTCCTTCTGAGCTTGGTAGTAATCTTTTCTTATGTTCAGAGCATGCTCGTATTGCCTTAGAATGTTTCTCTTGTCAATGCGATCGTGAATGACCTTAAGAATGGTTACCAGTGTTGTGTGCTCCTTCTGGGTGTATGATGATGCGCCTTCAAGCTTTTTGTCCAGTTTTTCTAGCAACAACTAGCAGCCGCAACGTATTCGGCCTCAGCTGTAGATGTTGACACACAATTCTGCTTCTTGGAAGACCAGCAGACTAACTTCTCGCCCAAGAACTGGACGGCTCCCGATGTACTCTTGCGGTCCATCCTGCAACCCGCAAAATCAGCGTCCGAATATCCGACTAGGTCAAAACCTGAATGCTTGGGATACCAAAGGCCTAGGTTCACAGTGCCTTTAAGGTATCTTAAGATTCTGCGCACAACAGTCAGATGGGATTCCTTCGGATTAGCTTGAAATCGAGTACATAAGCATGTGGACAATACTATGTCAGGCCTGCTAGACGTGAGATACAGCAAAGATCCAATGATGGCTCTGTAGTTTGTAGCATCAACCGGCTTCCCGGAGGGGTCTGAGTCCAGTTTATTATTGGGGGACATAGGGGTCGTCATGGAAGATTTGTCGTCAATGTTGAATCTCTTGAGCATTTCCAGAATATATTTTGACTGGTTGATGAAAATGTCGTCAG